TTTAGACTTCCTATTGCTGTGCCTGGCTGAGGAATTCTGGGAGTTGAAGTCTACAAGTCTTAAAGGGGCAAGGTTGGAGACCCCTGCTTTAGACTTCCTGTTGCTAGGCTGAGGAATTCTGGCTGAGGAATTCTGGGAGTTGAAGTCTACAAGTCTTAAAAGTTGCCAAGGTTGGAGACCCCCGGTCCAGTGGATTCAAGACTTTGGTGGGGCGTTTTCGTTTTTCTGACGCCATTGATTTACGAGGGGTGGAGTCAGATAAACCCAGCCTTGGATTAAAGGAAAAGTGTTACTATTGTTGTTAACATTATTACCATCAGAAAGAAAGAAAAAATGCAGAAAGGAGAATACTGACGCATGACTGGGTACTGGAAGTAGTTTAGAAATCAAGAGACCCCGAAGGCAGACCCCTCGACAATGAGCCACCTGGGGGACTTGGAAGCAGCCTCTTCCGCTCGGCCCTCAGAAGAACGAGGTCAGGGCAGGCACACCTGAAAACACCACTAAGGAAGCCATTGGGGCTTGTCCAGGAAGTTGCCAGCTAGCAAAAAAAACCCAGACCAGAGGTCGCATTCAGCAGGTTCTGACTGGTTCTGGAGAACCAGTAGCAGAAATTTTGAGTAGTTCAGAGAACTAGCAAAACCCACCTCTGACTGGCCCCGCCCCCCCTCTATTCTCTGCCTCCCAAGTCCCAGCTGATTGGCTGGGTCTTCTTTGGTTGCCCTACACAGAACGGAGCTGGAAAGCAGGTTAGTGGGGTGGGGATGGAAGGGGAATTTTGCAGTATCCTTCCCCTGCCACCAAGCCACGCCCACCAGTAGTAAAAAAAAATTGAATTCCACCACTGCCCCAGACCAAGGGTCTTCAAACTTGACAGCTTTAAGACTTGTGGACTTCCAGAATTCTTGAGCCAACATGACTGGAGGAGGAATTCTGGGAGTTGAAGTCCACAATTCTTAAAACTGTCAAGTTTGAAGACCCCTGATCTATCATCTATCTGTCCGTCTTCTATTATCTCCCCATCCACCCATATCTACCATCCATCCATCCATATCTATTTATCATCCATCCATATCTACCATCCACCCATCCATCCATCATCTATCACAAAGGTCTTCAAACTTGACAGCTTTAAGACTGGTGGACTTCCACTCCCAGAATTCCTGAGCTAACATGACTGGAGGAGGAATTCTGGGAGTGGAAGTCCACCCGTTTTAAAGCTGTCAAGTTTGAAGACCCCAACCCCAGACCAACAAGCTCCCTAAGGGATCATCCTAAGTAGAAGTGCAAAAACTTTGGTCTATCAAAAGAGACCTCTCCTTTTGTGCAGGCACCTCGGTTACTCCGAAGGGGCTACGGGAACCTGGCATGGCTGAGAGGGCCCCCATCCTCCCCAGCTCCCTCTTTTTGTGTGGTGTTCAGGCGGATGGGCTCCTCTGGCCCCTGGCTGGTGGGGAAGCGGATGTGTGTCCCTCTTCTATTGGAACCTTTGTGGGGCAGATGGTGCAGACGCTGGCTTTGGGGCTTAGCCGAAAGATCCAAACAAGACGGCTCTAGAGGTTGCCTCCCAGCAGAAGAGCCCCTGTCCCGGCCGGCTGCTCCACATGCCCGACTCCTGTGTTGCAGGTTCTGCTTGGACGAAGTCCTGTTGCAAGAGATGACCTCAGACCCCCTTCTGCGGCAGTACGGGGTGGTGGTGCTGGACGAAGCTCAGGAGCGCACGGTGGCCACGGAGCTGCTCCTGGGGCTGCTCAAGGACGTGCAGCACCAGCGCCCAGATCTCCGCTTGGTGGTGGTGACCGAGCCTCTCCTGGAAGAGCAGCTGTGCCAGTTCTACCAGGATGCCCCCGTGGTGAGGGTCCCGGGCCTTGGCCCCGCGCCACGCTTGACCTACAGAGACCCCCTCCCAGGGGGCCACGTGCCTGCTGCCTGCCAAGCCGTGCTGGAGCTTCATCGACAAAAGGAGCCTGGCGACGTGATGGTCTTCATGGCCAGTGAGCAGGTGAGTCTTTGGCCAGACGCCGGCATAGGTGCAGAAGCTGCCCGTCCAAGCAGTGTGGCAGCGAAGCTTAGGACCCTTGGGTGGCATTTAGTGGAGGCGGGGTCTCTTGGCCACTTTGCAAGAGGGGACAGAGTGAGGCCACTCTGTGAGGAAGCTAAAGAGGCAGATGGGCTACGCACCAGGTAGATCAAGAGGCACTGTGTCCAGTTGAAGGGCCAGCCTCCTTCCTGGGGTGCGGGTGGGGTCACGGGGTTCTGGTTGTGGAAGAAATAAAGGGCATTTTTGCGTCTCTTCCCCCAGGAGATCAAGGAGGTGTGCGAGGCCCTCCGAGCAGAGGCTGCGGTCCTAGAGGCTGGCCTGGGACCCCTGCTGGTGCTGCCTCTGCATGCGGCTGTGGGCAGGGACAGCCAGAAGTTGTATGAGGACAGCCTGGGGGAGCGGGCACGCCGAGTCATTGTCACGCACTGGCTGGCAGACGCAGCCTTCTCGGTGGGCAGCGTAAGGCACGTCATCGATACGGGGACGGAGCTACGCAACGTGAGTCTCGGGGGGCAGGAGAGAAAGACGGAGGGTCTTATGTGAGGGGTTGCTCACCTGCCCTCTGGCCAGAGGCCAAGACCTCACAGTGAGCCTCACAGTGCTCTGAGCCCGGCCAAGGCTGCCTGGGAACTGTTGACCATTAGCCCTGGAGGGGCCACTGAGAACGACCTCTGGACGACTTGGCAGCCTCTTTGGAAGGTGGAGCCAGCAGGGCCACCAGCCAAGGAGCCTGTCCCCCGGCAAGTACACCCAGAGACACACACCTCACATTCCGGCACCTCAAATCCTCCCATTTGATCTGCATGGGAGATTATAGGGGCTTTCATCCATCAAAGGGCAGCGTTCCTTTCAGAGGTGGGATTCAGCCGGTTCTGACAGGTTCCGGAGAACCAGAAGCAGACATTTTGAGTAGTTCAGAGAACTGGCCAATCCCACCTCTGACTGGCCCCGCCAACCCCATCTCTTCTCTGCCTCCTGAGTCCCAGCTGATCGGCTGGGTCTTCTTTGGTTGTCCTGCATAGGAGAACAGAGCTGAAAAGCAGGTTAGGTGGGGTGGGGCGGGAATGGGGATTTTGCAGTATCCTTCCCACCACACCCACAGAACCCATCGTAAAAAAAATTTGAATCCCATCACTTCCTTTCCCTTTGGGTGGGGTAAGAAACGAAGGCCAGCAAGCCCTAGGTGCGCCTCCAGATTCCGTGGTTCCTCCAGCAGCCCTTTCCCAGAAGCCCACAAGGGGTAGCTGCCCTTGGCCCTCTCCTCCCACTTAGACTCCGCAACTGTGGGTGAGAAAGAAGATGCTTCCCCCCCTCCCCCCCAAATCTTCTGCCTTGGCCACCTCTTGCCCAGCAGCCTCTGGCTGCTCTCTTCTGGACAGGTGTACAACCCCCGGATCCGGGCTGCGTCACAGGAGTTGCGCCCCATCAGCCGGAGGCAGGCAGAGGCCCGACGGCTCAGGGCTGCTGGCGCTCCTCCAGGTAAGCGGCTGGGCCTGGGGTTTGGCTACTCCGGCGGAGGCCTGAGAGGCCTTCCCAGGCGTTCTTAAGTGATGCTCTGCCCCACAGGGACCTGTTTGCGCCTCTATTCAGAGGCCTGCTACGAGCAGAGGCTGCCGGCCGTCTCCCCCACTCACCTCATGGAGGCCGACCTTCGCCGCCCCATCCTGCTGCTCAAGAGGCTGGACATTGCGGACGTGGGCCAGTGTGACTTTCTCGACAGGCCAGGTATGGACGGGATGGGGGACGGGATGGCGGCTGTCCCTGACAGGCCAGCAGCAGCCCTTCATTGGACCTCCAAATGAAGGCGAATCTTAAGTATCCTGGGACAACATTGTAGGGCTGTTCTGTGTGTGTTATTTATATGAGGCCTGTTGTGTGTGGTGTTGTAGTTGTTGATTTGATGGCACCTCTCCACCCCTACCTGCCAGCCCCCGAGTCTTTGATGCAGGCCCTGGAGGACCTGGACTATCTGGCTGCCCTGGATGATGACGGGAACCTCTCTGAGGTGGGCATCATTATGTCGGAGTTCCCTTTGGATCCTCAGCTGGCCAAGGCCCTCCTGGCCTCCTGCGAGTTTGACTGCGTGGAGGAGATGCTGACTCTGGCCGCCATGCTGACTGGTACGGGCATGGGCTGCCTCTGAGGCGACGCCTCCGCTGTCCAGCCTTTCTCCCTGGGTCTCCTGAGCTCGGCTGCTCTTCCTCCCTACAGCCTGGCCTTGTTTCCAGACTCCGGTGACACGCTGGGAGGACGCGGTGGTGGCGCGGCAGCAGGCTCTGCTCCACCCAGCCGGGGATCACTTCACGCTCATCAATGTCTTCAATGCGTTCCACCAGCGTGAGTGACAGGCAGAGGCTCTGGAGGGAGGGTGGTTGGTAGAGGACCAGCAGCAAGCATCCCCACACTGCTTTCCTCCCTTTATTTTTATTTTTTAAAGTTATTTTAATTTTTTTTAAAAAAATCCTCATTTTGTAACACCGTTTTCATTCTTTGCAACTTTTCGGTATCGGTATACATGTGCTTTATATATATTTTAATTACACACACACACACACACACACACACACACACACACAGAGTCCTTTTTATATATTTTTCACTGTAATATCTCTGTATCTACTATTTAACCAATCATACTATGTGTTCCAAATCAAATAATATTCGGTTTCTCCTCTATCTTTTATTTCCATTGTCAGCCTATCCGTCTTGGCACACTCTAATACTTTTTTCACACTTTCCTCAGATGGTATAATACCATTTTTCCAGTTTTGCGCATGAGACAATTCTAACCGCCGTTATTAAATGTAGCATTAGATATTGTGGTTTTTTTGTCATATTTTCCTGTTATTATGCCTAATAAGAACGTATCTGGTTGTAACTTAATTTATTGTTCAGTTATATTTTCAATCCACCTTCTTACCCTCATCCAATATTTTTTTGCTACTGGGTACATCCACCACATATGATCGTAAGTTCCTTAATGCTGTTTACGTTTCCAACGTTCTGGTGATCTAATTGGAGATCCCTTTCCTTTAGAGAGCGACCCAGAAAGCTGGTGTCGAAAACACGCGGTCAGTGAGGCCGCCCTGCAGCTGGCCGGAGCGGTTCGGACAGAGCTCTTGGATGTGATGCAGCGGATCGAGCTGCCGGTCTCCCCACCAGCCTTTGGCAGCGACAGCAACGTCCTGCAGTTGAAGCGAGCCCTCCTCACTGGCTTCTTCCTCAAGGTAGAGCCCCCCCCGCTGCCCCAGCACAGCCCTACTCTTGCCTGGGTCAGACTGCAACATCTTGGGGCCAGCAGGCACATGTGGGATCCGGAAGCAGGAGTTGGTCCCTGCGGAGGGGGGGATCGGGCACGGGGACTTGCGCAGGCACACCAGCAAGCCGAGAGCCAAGGCGTGGCCAAGGCTATGATCCAAGAGAGGACAGCCGACTCCAACGGAGACCTCAGGCCATGGCCTCTTGGGTGCAGAGAGCTCTGCCATCGGGAATGGGCTCCCTCTTAGTGCGGGTGAGAGAACTGCCCCTCTTCCCCTTGTGCAGGTCGCCCGGGACATCGACGGCTCAGGCAACTACCTGTTGCTGACCCACAAGCACTTGGCCCAGCTGCCCCCCAGCTGCTGCTATCGCCTGCGCCGCCCAGCCCCACGGCCTCCCTCTTGGGTGCTCTACCACGAGTTCACTGTCTCCCAGGACAACTGCCTGAGGATCGTCTCTGAGATCCCGCCAGAATTGTAAGCTTCCCCTTGGGCGGGGGGGAGGGGGGCAGGCAGTGTTGAGATGCTGCCGGCGTAACAACCGGTTTGCTAATCGTGCGCTTTGCGCGCGTACACAGCTTTCGGAATTACTTCCCTTCAATGTTACTTCAGGGAAGTAACACAACTGAGGCGCGGCAATCCGCTCTGCCACGCACATCAGCTGAGCAGATATAGGTGAGTGCAGCGCAGGAGTGGGCAGGCGGGCTCACGTGATTGTTGGAGCAAACCGGTTTGGAGCCAGCTGAGCATCAGAGCTAGGGGTTCACCCAAACCGGGAGAATCCCACCCCTGGGGGCGCGATGTGTTTGTGTGTGTGTGTGTGTGTGTGTGTGCACGTTCTCTGTGCTCTCCCCCTCCCAAAGGACCGGAGACTGACCAGTCTTAGGGGAACTCTGTGCTATGCACCAATGCTCAGCCCGGTCCACATTTTCCTTTGTCTCTAGTGTGGCTGAACTGGCTCCCCAATACTTCCTGAGCAATTTGCCCCCCAGCGAGAGCCGGGACTTGCTGATGGAGCTGCGGGGGAAGCTGGCGGAGGACACCCCCCTCCCGGGTCAAGGGGAGAACCCCCAGACCTCCAAAGCGGCTGAGGATGCGGGAGACCCCTGTGTGCTGCAGTGACCCTGGCGGAAGAAAGGAAGATGGCCGAGTTCGTGGCCGCTGCAGGCGCCCGGAGGCTTTGGGAACTGCTGGGGGCTGCCCAGGTCTCCCCCAGGGCATGGCTGAGGGCATCTGCCTGCCTGCCAGGCTCCTGGGTAGAAGAGAGGGCAGAGCGGGACAGGGGAGCCCCAAACGGGCTCTTTTCAGGACCGCATTTTAGCTGGGGAGGGAAGTAGGGGCTGCTTCCATGTGGGCAGGAGACAGCTGGCTGTGGATCTGCTGCCTGGCCATGCCAGCAGTCTCTTCTGGGGCCTCATGGCCTTTTGGGGGGCGGGGCACTCAAGAGAGAAAGGCATAAGACAGGTGGGCTGTCTTTGTTCACCTTGGCGATCTGCTCTTCAGTTGGGTGCCTTGGCAAGCAGTGGGGTACCCCACTAGTCTGCTTTGGGGGGGCGGGTGCTGTAGATCCTGGAGACCCCCTAGATCCCTACCCACCCCAAATTCTCCAAAGGGATCCTTTCCCTTTTGAGCAGTTTGTAGAAGCAGGGGGGGCAGGGGGCTTATACTTCCTCCTCCCTTGGTTTTAGCTTCAGCGGGGGTCCCTGCTGACTATCCAGAATGTTTTTATGAACAGCAGGTGGGGGGAGCCTGGGGTACGGCTCTTGTCTTTTCTGTATGTGCCTCAAAGGTGTTCCATGTACCCCCCCGCCCGACTCAGGGTCAGTGGGTATATGGAGAGTGTAGGGCAAAGGCCAGCAGGCTCTGTGGGGCCTGGCCTCCGCTGCCCTGCTGCTCTGGACAATCCTGCTTGTAGGAATTAAATTCTTTTAAAACATCCATTGTGGGTCTGGTGTGGATTTGCGACTGGAGGAAGGGAGGCCGGTGGGCCATCAAAAAGTGCCAGATAGAAAGACAAAATATGGGTGGGGAGTAGGAATGCATGCCCAAGAAAGGCATCCTTATCCACTCACAGTTATGATGAGGTTCTTCTTAATGTCCGATCCTTTGCATATCTCTCTTTATGGGTAAAAAGATGGTTATCGCTTTCATCCCGTATCGTAGAGGCAGAGGGTAGAGCTGCTACCACGAGGCTGTGTGTTCAGGCAAGAGTGAAGAAACCTCCCCCAACCCACCAAGGGTCAATTCCGTGACCAATCAGGATTACAGATGTGGCCACATGACATGGACTACATTTCCCAGGATACCTTAACTACATTTACCATGATGCATATCCCTTAAGGGGACAGCTCTCAATTCCTAAATATCCAAGATCCCATTAACTATAAACTGTCTGGACAGCACATGCCCCCCGCCCTACTCAGGAACGCTGGGTATATGGAGTGTGTAGGGCAAAGGCCAGCAGGCTCTGTGGGGCCTGGCCTCCATTCCCCTGCTGCTCTGGATAATCCTGCTTGTAGGAATTAAATTCTTTTACACATCTTTGTGCGTCTGGTGTGGATTTGGGACTGGAGGGGGTTTGGGGGCTGTTGGGCCCCCAAGGGGACAGATAGAAAGACAAAATATGGGTGGGGTGTAGGGATGCATGCCCAAGAAAGGCTCCTGGCTGGGAATTGGGCTATGGGCTGGGGACCGCCGGGGGGTCCTGCGTGGGAATAACATCCATGGGTCTGCTTGAAGAGGGCTGTAGTTTCCTGTGTGGTTCACTGGAGTTGGGGTGAGGGGGAGGGCTGGGTGCGAATTGAATGCCCAGGGCATGTAAGGACACCATTCTGCCACCCAGTCTGTCTGCAGCCATCTTGCACTTGGCATTCCGCTGCTGGATCAGGTGAAGGGGAGGGTCAGGGAATGGCGGCAGCTGCCCTCAGCCCCCCCCCCTTTGACCCCCCTCCCCCATACCGTCCTGGCTGGGCAGGCCTGGGGCAGACAGCGCTTGTGACAGAGGCAGACGTGCTGGGAGGCCAAATCAGAGCTCGCTGGGGTCTGAACCTGGGCAGTCAGTGCCCTTCTGATGGGCTTCAAACATTTTAGCAAAGGGTTCTCTGCCCCGTTGCTGGGTGGGCGTGGCCATGGTGGGCGTGGCCTAGTCATCCTCCTGCACCAGGGGGAGTGGATTTTCAGCCTCCCCAGGCTCCAGAGGCTTTCCTCAAGCCTTCAGGAGGGTGAAAATGGCCTCCCCCGGACTCTGGAGGCCCGTTTCCGGCCTTCCCAAACTTCCAGGAGGCCTGTTTTTCTGCCCTCCCTGAACCTCTGTGCGCACCCTGCACTTACCTGTATCCAAAACAGGCCACATGGGGACTCCTGGGGGGGGGGGGGGCAGGATTTGGGGGGGGGGGTCTCTGAACTGCACAGAATCTTAGCTAGGGGCTCTCCCAAACCCCTGCAAACCCCCCAGCAGCCCAGCCCTGCTTCCGGGCCTTTGTTGACGAGGCTGCCCGGTGGGGCAAAGACCCGCAAAAGCGGCCCCCCTCCCCCCAGCCAGTCAGCGTTGCTCCTGGGCCAGCACAAGCGAATGGGGCCACCTGATCGGTGAAAGCTGCCCTGTCCTGATCCAGGCCTTGGGCAGAACCCAGGCTGCCAAAGCGACTCTCACAGCACCCTCGAGAAGCCGGAGAGCCTCCGTCTCCTCGCAGGCCCCAGGTGGTGCCAGCTGCCCTCAGGCAGTGCCAAGGGGAGAAGAGGCCCTCGGGCATGGGTGGCGGGGGGGAGGGGCAGGATCTCGGCCTTCCTCCACTCGGGGTGTGCCTGGTGCTGCTGAGCTCAGCACTTCCTGGGCCAAATGACGCCCTCGGTCGTGGGTCACTGGAGGAGCCCCTGGCTGAGGAAACCCCAAGGCAGCCTCCACGGAGCCCTTATCTCCGGAGCTCTTATCTCCAAGGCCTGCTTTCCATGAGGCCGGGCTTCCTTGAGGGGGCGGATGAGAAACCACAGATAGGAGTCTGTTCAACGTAAGCAGTTCGAGGAAGGCAGAGGGGGGCGGGTGTAAACAAAACAAAAAAAGATCCCGCAAAAGATCACACGGGAAACTCCTTGCTCTTCACCAAACCCACCGAACCCCTCGTTTGGCTGAGGAGACGCTCCCTGCCCGGACCCACAGCCATTGGCCCCTGGGACCCTCTCCCTTGTTCCCTCTTGGCATCCAGAGGAGGGCAGCTGCAGAGGGTGCCCATGGGCCAATGGGTACTTAAGACTTGTAGACTTCAACTCCCAGAATTCCTCAGCCAGCACGACAGCCATGTTGTGGCCTCAAGCAGGGGTCTCCAAACTTGGTCACCTTAAGACTTGTGGACTTCAACTCCCAGAATTCCCCAGACAGCTATGCTGGCTGAGGAATTCTGGGAGTTGAAGTCCACAAGTCTTCAAGTGGCCAAGTTTGGGGACCGTTGGCAACAGGGTGAGCTGCCTCTTTTGGGTTAGGGGTCTGTTTGCAGCATAAAGAGTCAGAGGGTCAGCTGAATGCGATCCCCGCTCCCCCCACAAAAGAAAGTTTCCTCTTGTGTTCTCTCTTCCGGGGCTGCCATAAGTCCTGTCTGCCTGACGACTGGCAGAAACGCGCCTCCTTTGTGTGCCCACATCCTGGGCCCTGCGGCTGCCTTCTGCTGGGCCAGCTGGACGTGTGGACCAAGAAACCCTTGGGGCCTCCTCCCCTTCCCTATCTTTGCTCCCAGGGGAGGCTTCGCGGTAGTTCTCCCATGGCTTCCGATGCCTTTGTGTGGCGCCTCGAGGGCCCCTGGCACCTTCCCTGGACCCCTGAGCAGAGCAAGGGAAGCAGCAGCCAGGGGATGGGCCTGGGGGCTGCAAAAAGGAAGTCAAGGCTACCCCAGGGAGGGAGGGAAGGAGGCTGGAATTTTTAAGGTGACACTAGGCCCTCAAAGCTTTGTAACTCCACTCCGGTGGGTGTGCTGGAAAGGTAGGGACTTCCCCATCCCCACCACCATGGGTTTCTCTCCTGTCAGAAGAAGCCAAGAGCAGGGGGAGTCCCAAGCAGGAGAGTTTGGCCCTGCAGACCACAGCGGTCCCACTGCCTGACCTTAGGAGTGGCTGGGGAAGGAGTCCGAAGCGAGAGGGCCTGCAGACACCCAAAGACTGCCGAAGTGGAGCTACCAAGTAGCCAGTCAGCTGTCCCCCCAGACAGGACTGGGGAGCCACAGGTTGACTCTTGTCACCTTGCCTCACCTCCTTGCTCCTTGGTCTTGCTTCCTGCTTCATCTTCTGGCAGCTAAATACAACAGGTGACCTCTGTGTGCAGGTGAAGTCATCCCTCCTTTTGGCTACTGGGTGATCCTCTTTAAGAGGCATGGAGGCTTACTTGCCCTCGCCGAGCGTATCTCCTTTTTTCCCCCCAAGTTTTGTTTCAAGTCACATTTCTTCCTACGGAGGAGCTTCTGTTCTTTGATGGCTTCTCTGACACAAACGACAGCTGACAGGTTCCCGAGGCTCTTCCAAACACATTCTTCCTACTTTTACTTTTTTCTTGGTAGAAATCTTCCAGTTCAGAATCCAAAACTCAGCTTAGCAAGTGGTGGCATTGTATCTTGTTGGAGTTTCTTGTCTCCCAATTTTTGGCTGAATAGAGACAAGCAGTCCAACACTACAAAGACTTCCATGCAAAGTTCATTTTATTGGATTATATCAGGCATCCTTAAAGTATAACTCACAGTTATGTTGAGATTCATCTAATGTCCAATCTTTGCCTCAATAGTTGCCTCGATAGTGCGAAAAGATGGTTATCTTCATCCCATAAGTGTTATATCAAGGAAGACTCCAGCATATGCTGGGGTCCAGGTGATAATGCCCCAAAATCTCCCTCAGCCCACCAGAAACCAATTCAGTGACCAATCAGGATTACAGAGGTGACCACATGACATGAACGACATCTCCCAAGAGGCGTGAACTACATTTCCCATGAAGCATTCCCTTAAGGGGACAGCTCTCATTCCCAAACTAACTATATACTGTCTAAGCAGCAGCACAAGGAGGCAGAACATCCTTCGATGGAGAACGCATCTCAGGTGTCTCCAGCTCTCTCACTTACCTGCCTAGCATTCCTAGTCGCTTCGAGGCTTTGTTGAGTCTTCCAGTCTCTTTGTCAGCTGGACTTCTCTTGGAAAGGCCATCCAGCCAACCATGGTCTCCTCTGGCCCTCTGGGACCAGTTTCTCCTGAGGCTCATAGCTGCTCTTCCTCCAGACCTCCTGAAGGCCCAGGGACCCTGAGCTCTTCTCCATGGCCTCCTCTGACCGGCTTTTGTCTTCTGGGTGCTGCTGTCTCCCTGTAAGCACCCCGTCTCCAAACTTCTCCACCTCCCATGATAGATGGGAGGGGGGGAAGGTCAGGCCTGCCTCCCTCTCCTTACTTTCCCTGCCCAGAGAAGGGGGACAATTGTCCGACCCTTGCAGCCTCCTTCTTCAGGGAAGGAAACAAACAGGCTCTGAAGGAAATTCCCTCTCCAGGCTGGGCTAACGTAGCCACCACAAAGGGCCTCTTGCCCCTGACCCTCCTGCCAGATTCCTGGGTGTTTGCTCAATGAATCCTTTGGAGAGCCTCGTCTTTCGATAAATCTGGTCTTCCTTCTTTTTCCTTTGTTTAGAACAGGGGGTCTTCAAACTTGACAGCTTTAAGAATTCCTCCTCCAGTCACATTAGCTCAGGAATTCTGGGAGGTGAAGTCCACCAGGCTTAAACTTGCCAAGGTTGATTTGGAATAGGGGTCTCCAACCTTGGCAACTTTAAGCCTGGTGGACTTCAAGTCCCAGAATTCCGCAGAATTCTGCAGAATTCTGGGAGTTGAAGTCCGCCAGGCTTAAAGATGCCAAGGTTGGAAACCCCTGATTTAGAACGTATAAGGCCACCCAGCTCTACAGCCACTTGAGGCAA